GATAGATAGATAGATAGATAGATCTATAGATAGATGGATGATCAATGTTTGTGTGTACATATATGCATATACACACATAAACATATATGTTGAACAAGTCCGGAAGAAGCTAAGGACATTCTTCTTCCAACATATGGATATTCTTCATATAAAAGCTAATGAGTTTGGTCATAGTTAGAATGACCATACATCCTCATTTTCCTAGGATAGTCTCAGTTTTCACTTGTTGCCTCTTCCAGTAAGTACTGCATTTTACTCTTGAAAGTGTCCTTGTCCAGATAAAAATTACATAGTCATCCTACTTACAAAGGAGATAAATAAATTTCTTCTTATTCAGGCATGCTGACCAAGCTTTTGAGGACTTTAGCAAAGTGAGTACAGAAAGGTGACAGCCATAATTAATTTAACACCTACTAACCAGTACAGCTAGTGAGCAATTCCACAAACAGATCACTCTTTAGCAAAGGAGCACAGCAATCATTGCAGAAGCAGGTGTCACAAGCTTCATGTATCCAGCTTTGGTATAGAACCTAAACCCTCACCAGGTCATCTGCACAATCTCAAACCCATATGAGAATTTTCATCTGGTGAACAGACACACCAGTTCTCCTTCTCTGCAAGCCCTCTGTATGAAAAGCTGAGACCCAAATCCAACGCTGGAGACAGATGAGAGTACAGAAAACAAAAGCCCACCTATTATCTTCATGGCCCAGAGAGCTTGGAAACTAAGAGAATGTGGAGTCAAGTCTTCACAACAACACTTGGGTTTTGGATTCCCAGTAAATCTCCAAGAACTGGACCAAACACACTAGATCTTGAAACTTGCACTGCTACCTATGTAAGAGGCACGTAACCATAGGTATGCAAACAGGTTTTGTAGAAACTGCGCTCCCAAATCACACAAGTTGTCCCAATTTGTGTGTGTCAGCCCTAGATAAATGAACAAATGTTTTTTGGGGTTTTTTTTTTTTTTTTGGTTTTTTTTTTGAGACAGGGTCTCACTCTGTCACCCAGGCTGGGGTGCAATGGTCCATCATAGTTTCACAGCTCACTGCAGCCTTGAACACCTGTGCTCAAACTACTCCTCTGGAGTAGCTGGGCCTACAAGTGCATGCCACCATGATTAGTTAAATTTTTTTTAATGTTTTGTAGATTTGAGGGTCTTGCTCTATTATCCAGGCTGGTCTCCAATTCCTGGGCTCAAGCAATCCTTCTGCCTCAGCCTCCCAAAGTGGTGAGATTACAGGAATGAGCCACTGCATCTGGCCAAATTCTTACTGTGCCTGAAGATAATAATAATATGGACTTACAGCCATGGTAGACACTTAATGACTTAAGAATACAACTATTTTATTGCCAATATGTATAAACAGATGGCAAATAATTATCTTATTCTCCTATCTGCCTATTTCATTTTGCCTTATGCATTTTTCAGATTTAAATTTTTCTGATTTCCTACCTTTGCATTTAACAAATAAAAGATTCAAATAAAGTAAGACTCTTTCCTGCTGTCAGGAGAGAGGTGATGAAAAAAATAGTCAAGATTCTTTAATACCCAGGGTGACCACAGAATTTATCACCCAAGCCAGGAAACTTTTTAATATGAAAGGGGTTGCTTTTGATAATTAAGACAGGTCAACAGAATAAATTGGCACTGTCATAGGCAAACCAGGAGGTCCAGTCACTCTTCTAATCTCTCATTCATATCCTGAAGCAACTTCTGCCTCTGTTAGATCAACCAAACTTCAAACATAGTCCTTTCTCTTTCAGGCCAGGCCTGGCTTTTAACAACAGAGCTGGAAGGGTTTTCACTCAATGTTGCCATTCCCTAACCAACACCACGCAAAATTGGTTCCATTGCTTCTCAAGAAAGCAGGCGGCAATGCACACAAATGTGGATCCAAGCCAGGCCTACAGCAAGCCCCAGGGCAGCAGCCTCAGGTTTCTCATAAAGGGACACTTCAGAACAGAGAAGGCCACCTGGGAGGAGGATACACAGATACCAGCCATAGATTTAACAAGTATTTTGAATGGTAGATTGTTTCGTTGACACCTGGGCACATTGAGAAACTGGAAAGAGCCCAAAAGTGTCCTCTCCTGCAAAACAGATCCATCCAGAAGAAAAGGCCATAGCATCTGTCCTCATCTCCAGGTAACAACTTTAGTTTCTTTGCCTTTGGTTGAGATCAGTAGTGCAAAAGCCTTTGAAAAGAGTAAGGAAATACATTTTTCTACCAAGACCACATTGCACAAGTTAAATAGCCAATGCTTACTTTTATTTCTTGCCTCCGGTTCAGACAGTAAAACATTGCTCATGTTCTTCATTATATTGAGTTCCTGTAGCTGGTAAATATTAATTTACTGGAATATTTTCCCTCACATTCAGAAAGAGGGAAGACTAACCTTGTGATCTAGCTGCAATCCACAGGGTGTAAATAATCTACAATGGCGGTAGGCACAGAAAAGCTCCAGCTGGCTTATTTCAAATGTTCAGAATGACTTTGATTTCTTCCCTGACACCACAGTCATTCATAAAGATTCACTGCCAAAGGTTGCCCGATGCTGTGATGGAAGTGACGGTAAAGAAAGGTCTTAGGCTGGTAATTCAGCATAGAAGCGGAGTATCACCTGAGAGCACAGCTGAGAGTCTGGGTGCAAATGCTGGGGGGGTTAGGGAACCACCTGTCATGGAGATGGTGAAGGAAACTGGACTCAAACGAATATGGACCAGACTAAAGTCCTTCCAGCCAGGAGACATTATGAGTCCTAGGGGCCACTGGCATACAAAAATTAAGAAAGGTGCAACTGGTTTTCCCCTGAAAATGGTATGATAATTTCAAGTACAAAGACATTTTTGTTAATATAACTGTTTAAACTGTTTCACATAACCACAATTGAAGCCAAAGTGTGCCACTGTAATAATCAAAACAAATACCTCAATGATGACTTTTTTTTAATGCTCAAAAAAAGAAAAAAAAATTAACTAGTTAGGCTGCTGGATAGTAACGTTAAAATGTCTCCTTCGGAAGATCAAAATTATGTCTTTCCCACCCTCCACCCCACCCTACCCCACCTTCCAATAGTGAAGTGGGTAATTTCTGAAGAATACAATGACCCTTCATGCCTGGCTTCTCTTGTCTGCTAAGGATACCATCTGTCCCCCACACTATATAAACAATCCCTGCAGGAACCTTCTGATGACCAAACGGATCAGCAAACTCCAGATTTTCACACCCTTAATAATGTCCCCATCTAGATTAAGCTTCTTGCTTTAATAACTCCAAAGATAAACTTAATATCTGATCTTTCTTTGTAGGTAATGTGTGTGCTATTTTAAAGATAACCTCGGAATATCCAGCCATCTGTTGGGAGGAGAGAAGAGAGAAGGAGAGGAAAAAAAACGCTCTCTCTAGGCAACAGAAGAAATGAGCCCTGGAGGGAATAAGAGAAATAGTAAAAAGAAAATCGTATTTATAAGACAAATAAATACGTGAAAATTCACCAGGTCTAATAGAGACCTCTACTAAACACGCTAAAATATTTTTTACTAAACGACAAACTATGGGAAACTATTCAAGAAAAAAGACAAGTTTCACACTTTGACAAAGGTATATGCAGGAGAACTCGGAGCGTGCGTGACTCTAGGACAGTGGAAGCAGAATGCGTATCCAGGAAGGCTAAAGGCCAGCGTGAAGTTTGCCTGCTGCCCATTTCTATCTATAATGATCATCGATGCTTTTCCTTCTCCAAGTTGACTATCGATTGAGCCCTTCTAAGTCTAATCGTGAGCTCTCTGCATTGACTCCAAAGACTTCCAACTCTAAAAGAAATGTCCCCGTAAAGATGTTCTTAAAATTAATAATAATAAACAACAAAAAACACCTGAGCGCTGCCGATGGAGAAGACAAGGCAGGAGAGAGCCAGACCTCTGCAGTTGCACGTCCTCGGAAACGTCTACGTCGAAATCCGCAGCCCCAGTTTCCTCCAGGCCCCAAGCTCCAGCAGAGGATGTTCACAGCACATTCCAAACCAAAAAGGAAATGAAGCCTCCTCTCCCTCAAGTGATGCTCAAATGGACCCAAAAGTCCCAGTTTCCCAGAATAAGCAAACCATCCAACACGTCCTGGCGCCTCTCATCCGCGTTTCAGGGCGGCAGAACCGAAATGTCAAATGAATGACCGCGCCGGGGCGCGAGGGACGAAAACAAAGCCACCTCCCGCCGTCCGACACTTGCGGCGCGAGGGCCGCGCACTCACCTGGGCTCGGCGCCCGCCGCCACCAGCTGCGGGTGGGGACCGGGCCGCGGGGCGGGAGGGCGCCCCCCGCAGTCGCCCGGACCCGCGGCCCCGGCGCCCTCCGGCCGGTCCGTGCGCGCCCGGGGAAAGCAGGCGGCCCCGGCGCCGCCGCGCGTCGCATGCAGCTCCGGCTGCGGCGGCCGCTGCCACGGAGCCCAAGGACCCTGCGCTGCCGTCTCCGACCCGCGACCGGGAGCAGCGACCGGAGACGCGGCGCAGGAGCAGAGCGCGCGCCTCAGCGGCTCTTCCCGCCGCCTTCCGCAGCGGACCGGGTCTCGGCTCGCCTTTGTGCTGGCATCTTCCTCGCTCGCAACGACACCCGAGCTCCCGAGGCGGCTCCGCGCCGCCGCCCACCTCCGGGTTACGCCTCGTCCCCCGCGCGACCCGCCGAATGTGTCGAGTCAGCAGCGGCGGCGGCGGCGGGGACGCGCGGAGCCATGTCTCCCGCCCGCGCGCGGGAAGGCGCCGGGGGTCCGGCGCCGCCGGGAGGTTTACGGCCGAGCGCCGCGCGTCCCCGAGCCGCCCCGCAGCGCCCGGCTCCCCGCCGCTCGCTCTCCAGGCGTCGCCCGCGAGCAGCGTGCCAGGCGTCCCGCCTGCGTCGCCTCCCTCTCGCCGCTCGCGCCGGCCTCCCTCCCGCCGCCACCTTGCTCCGGCCCGGCGCGCCCGGGCGCCCGCCCCGCGCAGAGCCAAGGGTCGCCCGCTCACCTCCAGCCGGGCCGGCGCCCTCCCGCCCTCCGCGGCGGCGGCATCAGCCCGCACTGCCCTGCGGGGCGCTCGGCTGGCAGCTGCCTGCACGTCGGGGACCAGTGGAAGGGAGGCGGGGGAAAGGACAGGAGGAACAGCCAGACCTGGGCCGGCGGACCTCCCCGAGGAAGGCGCGGGAGAGCGGAGCGGGTGCGGCCGGCGAAGGACGAGTCCCGAGGCTGCGGCGGGACCGAGCTGCCCTGCTTCCGCGAAGCCGAAGGACATGCGGATTCCTAGAGGCGTCGCGGAGGCTGGAGGAGACCCTCTGAGGTCATGCAGGCAGGACTGTTCCTAAATCTCACCAGAAAGCTGAATGGAGGAGTGTCATACCTCGCTTTCCTCAACTGCAAGGGCAAGGCGATAATACTCACCTACACGGGGTGTGGTCACGATGAAAAATGGATTATTGAAAGCGTTCCCGGATACTTTGCCTAAAGAGGGCACTAAAATTTTAACAATTACTGTATTAATACTTTGGGCTTACTATTTACTTCTTCTGTAGCATCTTCATTGACTCGGTCCCCCTTAGGAGAAAAAGTAAAAAATGATGAAATGTAAAGATATGCCCCCCCCCACTCCCTGCATGGTATCTATCCAGATGTGAGAAAGATTTACTCAATTTTGTAGTTGATACCCATATGGAGGAAGTCCCAAAACACAACTTCCTGGCCCAAATAGTGGATATCCATTATTTGGAGATTTTTTTAGTATGTGTGCTCAGTATTATCCATCTCTCCGCCTTTTCTGGTAACAGCGGTTCATTATTCCTATGGGAACTACCCTTCCCCCTCATCCACAATGAGTCTTTGTGGTTCCAGGGCACTGACCCCTCCCATCCCTAGGACTAGCCAGTCATCATATTGCAGACCACAGTCAGTGGTTCTGGGATTCTGGGCATGTGGGTCCTGGAACTCAATCTGGGGCTTCGGTTGGAGCAGTTCAGAAAAACAAGGTCTTTAAATTAGGATATGTAAGTTGGAAGGATATAAGCCGGTGGTAACAAGGACACCAGTGCATTCAAGTGAAGCCAACTTTAAAGGAGAGAGGGTCTCACCCTCTCAGAAGCTTCAGGAGGTACATGTGTCTGCAGCGCACTCCGCTCCTGAAGCCAATAAATCCTCTCCCTTACAATTTCCTCAGTTCTGTTTCAGTTGTGTTCTGTCACATGTCACAAAAGAGCCCTGACTCCTTAGTCCCCTGGATCTATCATCCCAGGCACCATCCCAGGCTACTCTGCAGAATTGATGGCCTCCTCACCTCCAAAGGTCCAATTCCAGTTCCTACTGGAAGACTAGGGATCCTAAGGGATCTCACGTGATGATTTATTTCTATAAGTTGCTCAGACTCTGCAAGCTAACACGGGCAACCCTTAGCTTCCTGTGTTAACCTCTGCGGAACCCCAGCCGCAGATAGTAACTATGTTACAGTCTATCTTTAAATCAGAAAGCCTAAAAATGAATAGAGGTAAAAATGATAGAGGATCACTATCGCTGCCTTAGGTTTTAAAACATGTTTTTCTCACTTTAAAAGCAGCCCCAACTGTCTTTAAGACTTTCTACATATCAACCATTAAAACTAACACTAAGGCATCAAATAAAATGAATAACAAAGTCACCCCCATATCTCAGACTTGCAAAGGTGTGTAAAGTAGGTTCTTTCATACTACACCCTTATCCCCATCACCACCACTACCCACTGTGGGTCCCCCCTTCTCAGGATCCATAACTGGGTATCACCTACCCTCTTCTCCAACCATTCCCATAAAGAGAGATCAGTATTTCACAAGCCGGTCAATTCTAGTTTAAACTGGCCTAACATTAGAAAGTAATTCTTTATATTGAGTCAAAATACTTCTTCCACCTGACTCCAAGCACTAAAGACAACTTGAGAACCACTTGAATTGTCTCTTTTCCAAGATGTTTGCATGGCCCTTAACTGTTCATCATATTATAAGCTTCCTGACCCTTCATCACCCCAGCTGACTGCCTTTCTATTGATGTGTTCAGGTTTGTGAATGCTTCTCTCAAAGCATAGTGTCCAAAGCTAAACCTAAAGGTAGATTCCAAGAAAGCTAAACTTCAGGCTCCTTCCAACACCATACGAGGGGCCTTAGAAATGTATTCACGTGGTCTTATGTTTTTGTAAAAGTTTCAAAAGTAAGAAAATTTAATCTGAAGAGATCTGCAATGTTTGTGTTCCCCAAAATTCATGCATTGAAATCCTAACCCCTGTTGTGATCGTATTAGGAGACGGGACCTTTGGATGTAATTCACTCATGAGGGTGGAGCCTCATGAATGGGATGAGTGCCTGTATGAAAGAAACTCCAGAAAGCTCCCTCACAGTCTTTCTGCCACGTAAGAATACAAAGAAAAGATGGCAGTCCGCAGCTGAAAGGGGGCCCTCACCAGAACATGACCACACTGGAACCCTGACCTTGAACTTCCAGCCTCTAGAACTGCGAGAAATCAATTCCTATTATTCATAAGCCACCCAGTCTGTGATGCTTTGTTATTCTTGCCTGCATTGAGACAGGACTGCTGTCTCTTTTCATTCTAACTTCCCCTTTGCCATCATTCCCTTTGTATCTGGAGGAATTGAAGTAGTTCAGAGCATTTTGGGGTTCTGGCTAAGGGGAAGTTGAGTTAGTTAAGTGGAATAAATTTAAGTGGTTGCGTTAAAGCTCATTGTAACAGTGAGATCTATTTTGACTGCTCGAAGGTTTACAGCCTCCTAAAGCCACTTCAGTGTGGCGACATAAGAGTAGAGAGAAAGAAATTATATCACCAAATAATTACATACTTCAGGACCCAGCACGGAGTATATGGGTAATGGCTTAAGTCATGTTTGAAATGTATGGATCCAGAACTAAAATGTGGAGAATCCTCCCACATTTTATTCTTTATATAATTAAATAAATTTGAGGAGAGATTTTCCCATATTTGACAATGATCCTAAAAATGTATATGACTTTCCCAATAATGTGTTGTGAGTGGAAAAGAAACTCTTCTAAACTATCATTAAAAAAAACAAATTTTGTTCAACTTTGCTAGTAGAAAGACTGAAAAATTTATTAACTCTATTTAAATAAAGTCAAATATTTATTAATTCATTATAAGAATGTAATATGCCAAATAATTTTCATATGAAGAACAAATCAAAGAGTATAAAGCCAAAATACTAAGAAAAAGTATCACAAAGATATATCAGGCAGTTTATTAATTTTTAAAATTGTGATATTTTCCTACATTTGGTGAGGTGTATTGTGAGGTTTTTTTTTTTAATTTACAATTTGTTGGTTTTTTACTTCTAAATAAATATTCTTTTTTGTACCTCCTTTTATATTTATAATGTGTTTTTTTTCTTAAAGAGTGCCCTGAATTGTGTAATCTTCAGTCCCCACAAAACCTGGCTCTGTCCCTAATTGAACCTGATACTCTGAATGTGACCTAATCAGTATAGCATTCAGAGTGTGTGAGCTTCCCAGTGAAGAAATGACTAATTTAAACACAATATTGGCTTGAGACATCCATTCTTGTATTTCATTTATCACCCATCCTAAGGGAATGAATACATAGTTACAACTAGGGAATTTGGGACATGAACGAAGGACATCCATTTGTTGATGCCAAAATATATTCTTAAATGTATTACAACTTTTCTGCCTTCCTAAAGAAGGTATACTTAACATAATTGACTCATTATATTCATAGCAGCTATGATTTATTTACTATGCTATGATTCAGTAACACCCTAAGGAGCTTGTAGATATAAGCAGTTTTGCCCCTACACTAAATGGTTTCAGGCCACTATACATTTTTTGGGTGTACTTTGAGAAACTTTTTCTCTTTAGAACCTCACATTTTTTTCCTAGCTATCACTTATCATCTTTTCTTTAACTGGTAAACTTTCTTATTTCATTATAAGCTCCTGCTTATGGTCTGCTATGGAATTAATAGACTAGATAAATATTCTCATTAGAACTTTGTCTAAAATTGCTTGTGGGAGGGAGGAGGTTCAGTGGATAATGTACCTGAGCTTTGGTACATAAATTTTGTGATATCTATTTTGGTTATTCAAAATCCTTTCTTGTTGTCTTCTAATTTGTCACTCATTACTAATGGTAAGACTTTATGGATTCTCCCTTTCTTATATTCTTTGAGTAAATGTTTAATAACCACTTATTATATGGGCCAGGCATTCCTCTAAGTACAGGTGATTCCCATGTTATGGATGAGATACATTCCAGAGACCATCTTTAGGTCAGATTTGTATGTAACTCAGATCCCTGATGAACAGTGCATATATGATAATAATAACAATAATGCTGCTATAATGGCTCATGTAATAATGCAGTATTATAATAATAATTAATAATAATACCCCTGTACTATAATAATAAGTTACAGAAACTGTTGTGCTCTTTCTTTTAATTCAAACAAACGGAACATAAAAACAAACTCATACAAAAAGTTTAGATAGGAGATAGAAATTTCAAAATAGAATATTAAATGTTAACACTCACCTCATTACATCAATCCTAGGCTAATAGGAATGTTAATCCACTACACTACTTAGTAATAATTATTGCTTTCATCGGAGCACTGTCTTTCACATGTTCCATTAATCTTACTTTATCCTTTGTAATTGTTCCGATAGTTGAGAAACTGAAACCTAATGCTTTCCCAGTGAATGATGGCATCTGGCATAGACTCACAAAATAGAATTTAAAAGTTAACACAAAAGTGATGCTGCGCATAAGTGACCCTATAAACAATGAGACTACCCGCTAGCGTAAAGATGCTGCTTCAAAGAGCCCCTTACGCCATGTGAGTTTGTCTACATGTGCGGAAGAAACTAGTCCCCAAATTATCAATTTAATTATTATTATTTAATTATAAATTATCCTTATGGGGAGCCTTAGGAGCCTGTGTATGAATACGGAACAATGTTTAAGTCAGATCATCCATAACCCAGGGACTGCCTGTATTGAGGATGCAAAGGTGAAAGGAATAGACAAAAATCCCTGCCCAAATTATAAGAAATGACAGTGATCTAGCACTGCTTATATTTTCCTGTATTGAGCTAGAGCCTATTATCCAAAATGAGGTGACACAAGATGGGAAGAATGGGCTCCACATGTACTCGCCATCAAATTGGTACTGACTGATTAACACTATGGTGCTCAAATGGTGGTGGTGTTCTCCAGGAATTAGGGGGTTGGAGGTAGACCCATAACTGAGGGACGCAGTGAGCATTGTGGAAGGGAGGGGCACACCTCTAACCCTTGCTAGGGAGAGGCAAAGATATAAAATGTAAACAAAATGTTTGTACTCTCATATTTTCCTGAAATAAAAAAAAAAAAA